ATGTTACTGAAATCCTTAAGATTCTTCGATTTTGTTGAAATTTGGTTACAGGTGGTTTTTGGGGACGTTCGTTACGAATCCGTATTTAAAACTTGAAAGTTCAAAATGGTGTTTTGATTCAGTCTTCTAAAATCTGTTTTCGTCAATCTGGCGGATGGAATATAAAGGGGATTTTGGTTTTAGTGTGTGTTTTTGAAGTAGAATTTAAATTAGCAAAAGAAAGCCCTTGAAGAATATGTACTTGATTTTTCACTTGCTGCTATTTTTCTTTGAAAAATAGATGGACGTGCCAACTTTAGTCTTAAGTCAGCACAGCCACACTGTGGATCGAATCCTTCAACATAAACGATGAGCAAAAATATCGGATTCTGGATATTCTTAGAGCAAATAATTCTAGAAACATTTTGAGACCAAAACGATCCCGGCAATTGATTGCTTTAATGTACTTTACTCTTGTACGCGACCCAGCACAGCCACACTGTGGATCGAATTTTTCGACGTAAACGATGAGCAAAATATCGGATTCTGGATATTCTTAGAGCACATAATTCTAGAAACATTTTGAGACCAAAATGGTCCCGGCTATTGATTGCTTTAATGTACTTTACTCTTGTACGCGACCCAGCACAGCCACACTGTGGATCGAATTTTTCGACGTAAACGATGAGCAAAATATCGGATTCTGGATATTCTTAGAGCACATAATTCTAGAAACATTTTGAGACCAAAATGGTCCCGGCTATTGATTGCTTTAATGTACTTTACTCTTGTACGCGACCCAGCACAGCCACACTGTGGATCGAATTTTTCGACGTAAACGATGAGCAAAATATCGGATTCTGGATATTCTTAGAGCACATAATTCTAGAAACATTTTGAGACCAAAATGGTCCCGGCTATTGATTGCTTTAATGTACTTTACTCTTGTACGCGACCCAGCACAGCCACACTGTGGATCGAATTTTTCGACGTAAACGATGAGCAAAATATCGGATTCTGGATATTCTTAGAGCACATAATTCTAGAAACATTTTGAGACCAAAATGGTCCCGGCTATTGATTGCTTTAATGTACTTTACTCTTGTACGCGACCCAGCACAGCCACACTGTGGATCGAATTTTTCGACGTAAACGATGAGCAAAATATCGGATTCTAGATATTCTTAGAGCAAATAATTCTAGAAACATTTTGAGACCAAAATGGTCCCGGCTATTGATTGCTTTAATGTACTTTACTCTTGTACGCGACCCAGCACAGCCACACTGTGGGTCGAATTTTTCGACGTAAACGATGAGTAAAAAATTCGGATTGTGAACATTCTTAGAGCAAATAATTCTAGAAACATTTTGAGATCAAAATGATCCCGTCAATTAATTGCTTTAATGTACTTTACTCTTGTACGCGAACCAGCACAACTACACTGTGGGTCGAATTTTTCGACATAAACGTTGAATAAAAAAATAAACTAAATATTGTTTATCAAAATGGTAGAATTAATGTGGCGATCGAAAATAATAATGAAATTCTAAAGGTTTTCAAATTTCAGGGAAATTTTGTATTAGTAGGAATTAGAGGAGTTGTTGATTTCAAAACAAGTTTCAAAGAAACATAATTCATAATATTTAAAAAAAGCATAATGGACCATCGCGCGCGTAGCGCGCGCAAGGAATGTGCTAGTAAATGTCAAAAAACAGCTATTATAACAAAGTTATTTAAAGATAAAGATCTATATAACTGACGATAAAACTTGCCATGTTTTTTTTTATTTGACGTATATTATTTATATTGATGTAAAAAGCACGGTTTTAATATTTCTATAATATTTATCATTACATATTATTTACATTCCAAGTAAATGCAGTAATTGAAATTTGAATACGAGTGGGAATCGCTAGGAAATGGCTGACCAATCAAAAGTGGCACCCTGATGGCCAGTTTCTGTTAGAGGGTCTCTAAATAGGGGGCTTTCCTCTATATGTATATATACCATATATGGGGCATTCCACGCCAAGTGGGGCACCCATTTTGCGAAGTTTCATGGATTTCGTTCATATTGCTTGAACTTGAACAGTTTTATGAATAAAGACTCTATGCCGAATAATATATCTGTAGGCCAACTGATTGCCGAACTATAGAGCCGTCAATTTTTGGGCTCTCTCGTCGCAGCGCTCTTTTCGTTTGTTATTAGTGGGCATGAAAGGCAAGTTTGGAAACGAAATGTAGACGTTTCCTTATAGACAATTGAACGCTGCGAATCGCGCTGCGACGAGAAGCCCAAAAATTGGTGGTCCATTTGGCATGGAATGCCTCATATATGTATACTATGGCCCGTATTCAGAACGCGCTAACAACGATGTTAGCGCGCTAACATGCTACAGTTTACGTCACGTATACTATAGAATTTCAGAGATAAAAGCGCGCTTTTATCGATAAGTGCGTTCTGAATACGGGCCTATATGTATATGATATATGTATATAACTTAAAAGTGCATTCGTTTTGTTTTCAGTGACAAATAATATACTTTAATTGTCATTTTTAATATGTACATACATACATATATGTATAAAGAAACTATTTTATTTATTTTTAGATTTGGCGGCGGAATATAGTAAACGCCGTATTCGAATGTAGGACTCACTTAGAATCTAATGTGGCATCGTTTGCCAATAAGAACACAGCTCGAGGTAATATATCTATATATAGGAGAAACCGAGGATGGTTGATACATGAAGCATGTTGTTACATTTAAAATTGCTGCTAAACAACGAACAATATAATATTACATAAAAAATATAGTATTTCCGTAAAAACATTGTGGTCATGCTACAATAAGTTATTTCAGACTAAATAGCATATTTTGTGAAACAGAAAATTATTTTCGGTTTTTGATAGCCAAAAGTAAAAAAAAGTGATATATTAAATGTTATATTTATCGATCTATTCACCATATCATAATTCTAATTATTTTTATGGAATTCTTGTTTCATAAGCAATCTTACATAAATTATAGTTTACTATGGAAGTTGGTAATGAAGGAAAAAGAAATTTTTAAATACTTTGATTATTGTTAAAGAAGGTATAGTTTGATATTCGATGTTATCGCAAATCCACTTTTTCTGGCAGATTTCTCAATTTTCATTCACAGCATCCTGGTGTATCATAAAAGAGGTGTAATATATGTAGAGACCTAGAAAACAGAGATGCGTCATTGAAGGGTATGGCTTGATTGGCTGTCTAAATCACGTAATCAGAGAGCCATTTTAATTCACTATTGCATCTAATAGATATAGTTTTATGACGTATGTATATACATATATATATATATAGCGAAAAATTTAGAAAATACAGTGTCGAAGTGCAATAAAAAACTATTATTATGGTGTAAGTATTCTTATTTGTGTGAATATTTAATATCGGACTTAACCTAACCTAATCTAATCTTTCTACCTTTTGCATCAACTGTCATCAGCTTATTGGTCAAGAGCACTTATATTGAATTAAAATGGCGGTGGTTACCTAACCCAACCGACGCAATGTCGCATCTCTGTTTTCTAGGCCTCTAAATATATGATGTTGTTGATAAGATATTACTTTCGTGTCATCCAACTTTTCAACAAAATAATTTAATAGATGCCATAAATATTTTCTTACATAATGAATATTCTCTACATTTTATTTTTTCAACAATTTATAATAGAATTAAATTCCATATTAATAATATTAATTCTAACAATATAATAATAATTAAAAAAAAAAATTTTACTCTTCCTTTCGTAAATACAGTTTCTGATAAATTCAAATCTATTGCCAATATGTTTCAGTGCAAACTTGCTTACGCTATACCTAACACACTGAAAAATTATATAAAAAGAGGAAAAGATAAATTGGAACATACCATAATTAGAGCGTAGTATACAAAATATCATGTAAAAATTGCGATGCTAAGTTATGTTGGACAAACTAAGAGACAATTAAAAACTAGATTGCATGAATATGTCTCAGATAACAGGTCTGTTCGCGTTGCATGAAATCTCCAAATAATTTTGCACTTATTAAAATGAGATAGATATGTATTCGGCGTTAAAAAAAGAGAAAGCGAAGATGGTAAGTGCAAAAAGTGTAAGCAACGCGAACAGACCTATTAACAAAGGTTCAAAATCCCCATCTGTAATAACTAACCGCAGAATTGAATTAAATCATAACTTTAAACGGGATAATGTTGAAATCTTATTGTTAGATATAGAATTTTCTTACAAAAAAAGATTAATATCTGAGATGGTTCATATATTAAGAAACAGATACACGGTATAAACAGATAAAACGATACAGAGTCATTGCCCGAAATGTACATCAACATAATATACATTCCCTTTCCACGTCTTAAATTGTTTTCTTTCTGTTTCCTCTTTTTCCTCTCTTGACATTCTCTATCATCGGCATTACCTTATATTTCATAAAGAAGATTAGTTGCTTTTTGTCGCTGCAAATTATCTTAGTTAATTTTTATTATTACAATTATTAATTTTAATTATAACATGTATTATAATAACGTTGTGACTTTGAAATTTTATTATTGGACACGTTACATCTTTTTCTTTTATAATTGATTTTTTCTTTTATAATTGAAGATTATTTATGCTTACGACACCACCATTGACAATATAAACTTACATAGTATTAAGATTTTTTACTCAATCAATATTGTGTGCAGTAAATTCTAACTCAAAATACTTTATATATTTAGTAACATTGAAAATGACCCGATCGGAGTCGAAACATTTGTTTTAGTTATTTGTATATCATGATAGTTTGAATTAAATTTGTTCGTTGATATTTACTTGACTCTTTGCCCTTTTTATATTTTTACTGTTTTACATATAGAACCTTATAATTACTTTTATTTAATATGTTTTTACTTTATTGTATTAAATGTGTAGTATTATGAAATTTCTGAATTTGTAACAACTGTTCAGATCACTGTGTGTAACATCCTACTTCGCATATGGGGTCAGTTGTTACAAGGTGCATCATTTTATATTTTTTATTAATATTACAAAATTAATCATATTATTATAATCTTTCCGTAGTATAAGCATGTGAATATTAGAAAATGGCCTCATGATTTATGTATATCCTATTTATTAGTTGCAATTATTCGTAAAAAAAACTGTATCAATCATCCCCGGTCTCTCCTATGTATATGTATGTATGTACGTACATATTAATATATTGATCTCAAAATATCAAGATACATAGTAGTCTGCGTCTCGAAGTATACTTATACATCCACACTCGACAGCAAAATTAAAGTATCATCTGTTTTGCTCCTCCAAAAATAGACAAATTTCAAGAGAGTGTAACTTCATAAAAAATTGATCATAAAATAATTTCTTAATAAGCATTTTGAAGCTTGAAATCTCTACTCTCGACAATGGTAATTGATATTTTGATTTGATTTACTCTTTAAGGAGTTGTACGAACACAAATGGAAATGCGTCAAAGCTAAAAAATTTTACTACATTTGCGAAGTTCCATGGTGTGAATTAAAAGTCGCATAAAAATTTAATTTATAACATTTCAAAGCGCGAATCTTTGTCTTCAATTGCCTTTTTCCGACATCTGTACGATTTTTTTTCTTCGAGTTATTTAACATTAGAGCAGAAAGGACTACTTTTGCTTTAATGTTAAATAACTCGGTGAAAAAAATCGTACAAAGGTCGAGAAAAAGTAAATTAAAGGTAAAGATTTACGATTTCGAATGCTGTAAATTGAATTTCTGTGCAATTTTTCATTTATACCGTAGAACAATATGCTCGCACAGAATTATACGATAAAGAGGAAGCAATACACATATTTATGCTAATGTCGACGGCACACTTAGCATTTAAAAAAAATTCTTTAAAATGCAATAAAACGTCAAAAATATTATTTTTTCCATAAGCCATTTTAAAAAACAGGCTTAATTTGAGCTGGAAAACATTTCTTGCAACTTCATAGAATCGTTTGACTTCGCAAAATTTTCGAGATTTAAATTCTTTTCAAATTTTACATCCCGCTTTCTAGTGTAAAAGCATCTTCGAGAAAAATCAATTTTGAGAATTGAAAGTAGAGTTTTTGTTCTTTAAAATAAGTCTATGAAGATTGTTTTACGATATTTTTTTTACGAAGTTATCACAGTTCAAAGATCGACAACTTTTAGTAAAAAATTTAGTCAGTCTTTAAAACTTTGCAAGGTTCTATGATAGAAATGAAAAATTGCATAGAAATTCGGTTTACAGTATTCGAAAGCATGAATCTTTACCTTTAATTTGCTTTTCTTCGACCTTTATACGATTTTTTTTCACCGATCGAGTTATCTATCATTGAAGCAAAAGTAGTCCTTTTTGCTCTAATGTTAAATAACTCGAAGAAAAAAATCGTACAGAAGTCGGAAAATAGTAAATTAAAGGCAAAAATTCGCAATTTGAAGTACTGTAAATAACCGAATTTGTATACGACTTTTGATGCCATAGAACTTCGCAGATGGTAGTAAAAATTTTTGAAATTTGACGCATTTCCACTTGTGTCCGTATAATTCCTTAAAGAATAAATTAAATCGGTAGATATATCAATTATTATACCATTTTCGAGAGTAAAGATTTCAAGCTTTAAAATGCTTTTCAAGAAACTTATTTTTTATGATAGTTTTTAACGAAGTTACATTCTTCTGAAATTTACCTATTTTTGGAGTGGCAGGACAGGTGATGCTTTAATTTTGCTGTTGAGTGTATGTAGGCTGCTGGAAAAATTTCTGCAAATAATATGAAAAAAAAGAACATGTAAAATTCGGCTTTATTGTTTTTCAAAGTATTTGCCTTTAAGACCGATACACTTTGCATACAAGTAGTAATACAAGCGCGGTTCTGGATCAGAAGTTTGTTCTTTTTTTATGTATACATGTTTTATGTAACAGGATAGTCAACACAAATTATGGAGTGTTTAGGAACGTGTAGAGGACATAAATTACCAGGTATTTAGGAAAGCAGAGAGGGAGGGGATAGCGCGGGGAAAGAAAAGATATGAAGAAAACCAAGGGTGTACTTCCGAAAATCTGATACCTCTGATTTTTATGGGGCGGGGCATACTAACGTTTTTCGGTGCGTTGAACACGAATATCACCATGAAAATCACCGACAAGGTCATCTTCAAGGTCAAAACTTTAAAAAACGCGATTTTTTACGGTTTTTCGCATTTTTTTTCCAAAATACACATCGGACGAAAAAAAGTTCCAAACAAAAAAGGTAGAGCATCAAATTCTCTATAAAAAAGGTTTAATTCACTTTCTTCATAATATTAACGGTAATGCCGTAAATGAAGGATGAACATTGGAACCATCTGCTTGGCGCGTCCCGTTTCAACCGGTAACGTCATTCCAGGTTACCTGATCCTTACGATTCCTTGGTTTACTGATGTTTTTTGATAAGTTGAGCATGCTCATTATCATAAAAATCACCGACAAGGTCATCTTCAAGGTTAAAACAAAAAAATTTCGATTGTTTGCAGTTTTTTGCATTTTCTTATTCAAAAATACGTATTACACGAAAAAAGTTTCAAACAAAAAAATTCCTTGTTCAGAAACGTTGAACTTTCCACGCGAAGTAACTTTTACCCCCCCCCCCCCCTGCATAGGGGCACACGACTTTTACGATTGTATTGTCGCGACAGACCTCTGTCCACCTCCCCTCCCCCCTGCTGAGGGGCGCACGACTTCTACGATTGTACTGTCGGGGCAAACCTCTGTCCACCTCCCCTACCCCCCTGCTGAGGAGCGCACGACTTCTACGATTGTACTGTCGGGGCAGACCTCTGTCCATCTCTCCCTCCCCCCCTGCTGAGGGGCGCACGACTTCTACGATTGTACTGTCGGGGCAGACCTCTGTCCACCTCCCCTCCCCCCTTGCTGAGGGGCGCACGACTTCTACGATTGTACTGTCGGGGCAGAAAGCATGAACAAGGCATAAAGATTAGAAAACCTGGAATGACGTTACCGGTCGAAACGAGACGCGCCAAGCATATGGTTCCAATGTTCATCCTTCATTTACGGCATTACCGTTAATATTATGAAGAAAGTGAATTAAACCTTTTTTATAGAGAATTTGATGCTCTACCTTTTTTTTCGTCCGATGTGTATTTTGGAAAAAAAATGCGAAAAACCGTAAAAAATCGCGTTTCTTTAAGTTTTGACCTTGAAGATGACTTTGTCGGTGATTTTCATGGTAATATTCGTGTTCAGCGCATCAAAAAACGTTAGAATATACCAAGCGCCATAAAAATCGGAGATATCAGGTTTTCGGAAGTTTATCCGAAAACCAATGGCTTAAACTTAAAGCATATAAGAAGTAAAATTTTTATTTGAACTTTTATTACATAGCTATCTCTCTGTTCGTACGAGACTAAACGAATTTTTATGAAACTAACGAATGGATGGATATTATCCTGAAAACAATCACAATAAAATTGAGGCCTAGATAGTATAAAGACTTAGGACACTCTCACGGAATAACAGTAGCCGGTATTCATAGTCAGTTCTTATATTCAAGACCGTCTTAAGGTGAAGTCCCATGGAGGCAGCGTACGGCGTACCGGCGTACGGCGTAAAGGAACTAGGCCAATCACAGGCTTTACGCCCGTTTTCGTTACGCCAGCACAAACATCGAGTGTCCCATGGAGCATATTTACGCCGGCGTAATGATCAATAAGCCAATCACAAGATCCCTTGAATATCCATTTTGGAAATAAGCTTTGTAAAACGGCATGTAATTGGCTTATTGATCATTACGCCGGCGTAAATACATCCCATGGGACAGTCGATGAAATTTTAAGCGTGACGTGTTTTAACATGTATCATATGTATATACAATCACATGAAGTGAAAACAAATGTACATACATAATAGCAATTAAAATGTTAGACTCTGAAATAACGTTAATTTATTTAATAAAATACTTGAGAACTTATAAATGCTCGGAAAGTACTTTGTGTAAAGAAACTGTTCGACGAAAATTAGTTCAAATGTATATTATATATGAATTAATGAGAGCTGAAGAGAAGAAAAGAGATTCGGCAATTAGACACAATGCTCGAAAATTTTGGGTTAGACCAATTTTTACTAGTGAAAGACGAGTAGCACAAGGGGCTAGCAATAATCTGGTACAAGAAATGATTTTCGAAGATAGAGAAAAATTTATCAATTATTTTCGAATAACACCAGAAACATTTGAAAAACTGTTGCAGATTGTTTCACCACGTATACAGAAACAATTTCTTATTCGTGAGCCAATTTCTGCTCGCATTCGCCTTCAAATCTGCTTGCGATATTTAACTTCAGGAGATAGCATGGTATCCATATCATACGCATTTCGTGTAGCACACAATACAGTGTCAAAGATAATATCAGAGACTTGCGATGTAATATGGGATACATTAAAAGAAAAAGTATTCCTGAAACCAACTGAAGATAAATGGCGAAGAATAGCCGATGAATTTAAAGAAAAATGGAATTTTCCCAATTGCATCGGAGCAATTGACGGGAAACATATAATTTTACAGGTAAATTTTTAGTATTTTGACAATTTTCTTTTGTGAGAAATCAAACGAAATTATAAGTGATTTCTATTTGAATTCTATTTGTTTATTATATAAATAGGCACCTCCCAATAGTGGATCGATGTACTACAATTATAAAGGCACTCACAGTTTGGTATTAATGGCTATCGCTGATGCAAATTATCGGATCTCATTACTGGACATTGGTGCACCAGGACGGCGTAGTGACGGTGGAGTATTTTATGCTAGCGAGATCGGTCAGCGATTACAAAATGGTACGCTAACAATTCCTCCACCAAGACCTGTGGAACTTGGTGGTCAGGATTTACCATTTGTTTTAGTCGGTGATGAAGCGTTTCCGTTAACGCGATACATGATGATGCCATATTCTAGAAGTGGCAAGCTCAATAGACGCAAAAATATATTTAACTATCGTTTAAGTCGAGCTCGCAGAATCGTGGGAAATGTATTTGGGATACTCTGTGCAAGAATGCGAATATTTCGCAAACCGATAATTGCCAGCATATCTACTGCCATTAGAATAATCAAAGCGGCAACGTGTCTACATAATTTCATAATATCAGAGGAACTGGAGCAATCACATGCGGAAAGAAGATATATGACATTAAATGCATTTGAACGAGAATTGCGTGTTACAGGCATGGAAGATGCAGGAACGTTTGATAGAAACAGACCAACGAAAAGTAGTTCTCAAATAAGAGATGATTTTGCAAAATTTTTTGAAACCACGGGTGCGGTTCCATGGCAGTGGGAGAAAGTTCTACAGAATAATTTTTAAAAGATTAAGAAGTACAAAATAAATGTTTTTTATTATTCGTTTCATATAAAAAAGAAGTATGTTATATAGACTGTTATACATTTTATGAAAAAATAAAATTAACGTGACAAATAAAACATAAAGTTGATTTATCATACTTTTATATGTAAACATTTTTGTAACCGTTATTTAAAATATGTAATGTTTATTAACATTATGTATGTACCTCACAGCGTTTTCGGCTTGTACAGGTTTAATATATAATATCTCGAAGCGCTCATGAGCCGAAAAAGCTATCAGTATTGTGACATATAAACACATAACGTAAAGAAATATAAAAAATTTTAAAAAGTTTTAGCAAACTTGAGAGAATCATTAAGACTACGTTCGAAAATATTTCCCAAGTGTTTCCGAGTATTATTTTATCCTTATTCTTTATCAAATATTAAACAAGGATAAAATGATTTTCGAAAGTTTTCGAAAAGAATTTTATGATTATAGGGTTTATGACTATGGATGAGGCATATACTACGTTTACACGGCACGCTTTACGCCGAACTTATAACATCGATGTTATGAAACTGGCCAATCATAGGTATTCCTCTGAAGAATGAAATGACTGTGATTG